TCACTTAACATAAATCTGACATACTGTCAGGTTTAAAACACATAGGTCAGTGTTGCTTCCTTTCTAAAAATAATCTATATTTTGCTAGGCACTTCCGCTTCTAGTTCACTAAATGAATAAACATAATTTCACTTGTATAAACTCTTGCTTTAAAAAATCTTCACTTTTTAATTTAAGAAGAGTAAGCTATCATTGTAGAAATTCAGACAATAATGATATACAAAGTGAAAACTGAAAGCATTTCCTTCATCAACACTGCTAACTGCCCAAAGATGGCCACTGTGAGGTTTCTCTATACAGATACATACACTTACATATACTTAAGAAAAACACAAGATTTCTAGGGTACAAAATTATGTATTGCTCTGCATCTTGTTTCCCACATAAGAGTGGCTTGGGACTCCTCCAAAAAACACACATCAATTTCTAGTCTCAGTGAATAAGACTGATCATTTTCTTTGATAGTTGTATATTTTTATTTTACTTTTTGCCAATCTAAATAACTTATTGTTTTAATTTGGTAACTTAGATTTTATTTTTATGGAATAGTTCAAATGCCCAGAAACATAAAGAAAGCTTCTTTCTTGAGTCAGCTCAAGTTAATAACCAACTGAAATGTTCACCTGGTATTTCAAACGTGTGCATATAGGTTTTGTGTACTAGAGGAAGCACAGAATGTACAGGAAATAACATTAGGATGGCTGACTAGGATTTTAACCCTTGCTCTGCAATAGTTAGCCATGTAAACTTAGGGCTGTTTTTCCTCATGTATAAAATTAGAGGGTAGACACAAATGTTACTGATCTTTTAAAGCTCCAAGAGTATATGGCTCCAAGTCACAAATGTTTCAAAACACAGTGTTAAAATTCGTCTGCTTGGATTTCTTACAGGTGAGTAAAGAATACTGTATCTCCTCAATTTCCCAAAGTCTCTGAGTTCCACAAGGAGGGATCTAGTATTGCTCACTTATGTATATCAAGCACATAGCACAGTATATAGCGCGCTTGACATTCGTTCATTAAATATTTGGACGATGTAATAAACCAGGCATAATTTCACTTGGTCTAATCCTCACACTCCTAAATTGAAAATGCCACAAAACAGACGGCTGTCACAAATCTATGAGGGACTTAACGTTTTCCAAAAGCAGAAAGATTCTCTTATATTCTAACACCGGATCTAAAATCGACCTCCCCAGCCCCAGCACGCGATGGGGCCCAAACTCAGATAACTGTCAAAACTTGTAACAGAGCTATAGAAGCCGGGTTGTAACTTACTCCACTCTACTCTCAGACTCTACATCTCCAAAAGTTACATTTCCTTCCTTTGCGAAGCCAACAACTATGAAAAAAGGCGGAATTAAAGACACCAGAGGCACAGAAAGTGGCGGGGAGGAATGAACAGATCTTTTCAAACCCCACACATTGGAAAATGTCCCTGATGTTGGAAACCGCGTCCTCACCTCCTTCTTTCTTTGGGCAGAGGCCGAGGGAACCTTGTAAATGAGCAGTAGCGCCACCGCCATGGTCGCGGAGACACACCAAAACCACCTACGTGCTGCCATGTTCGCTGTTCTCCCTTGGGTAAGGGAAACTTTCCTCCAGCAAGATATGAGGGTGGAGCGTGAGAACGGGCAAACCGGCCCCTTGCCTTTCCTCATTGGTTCAGCTCAGCCCTGCTGGGCGACCCCTCACATTACGTCACAGCGCGCTACTGCTAGACGCCCGCTAAAAGATAGTTCGCTTCTGATTGGTTCCCGTTAGCCAATAGAAAAAGGATAATCTGGAGGTTTTTCATTGGTCCGCTAAAAAAAATGATGGCCTATCCTTTTCATTATGCGAAAAGATGTCGAGCGGCGCGGCTGCTCAACCACGCGTGCGCAGTTGTGAAACGTTGCGGCTGTTTAGTCCAGAATGGCTTTGTAATGCTAAAATGGAATCTTTCTGTCGAAGACTCATTTAGAATCCCGTGAAATCTACTTCTTTCATGTAATATTTTAGGACAATGGGACCTACCAACAACAGGGATGGGAGCTTAATCCCAGGTATTTGAAATAAAAAAAATTTTAAGTGAAAGTAGGAGAGCAAAAATATGCTTCAGATCACCGAGGAGGATTTTTTTAAAAAGAAAATATTCTTGGAGAGAAAAAAAAGAAAATATGAACAAGAATTTGGTGAAAAGCAGAGCGTGGTGGTTGCACATCTGTAATCTCAGCACTAAGGCAGAAGGATGGAAACTTCCAAGGACAGCCCAGGCTGCATGAGAGACCTTGTTTAAATGAATGAATGAATAAAATAAATAGAAAAGAAGTGCTCGCTTCGCAGCACATATGCTAAAATTGGAATGATACAGAGAAGATTAGCATGGCTCCTAATGGCTCGCCCATTCAAAAAGAAAAGAAAAAGTTAGGTGAATACCTTCTGTGTCCCTCTGACCCAGGAACTGTGTCAGGAGCATAAAAATAGAGAAAAAGAGGCCTCAGCCGGGCGCCAGTGGCTCACGCCTGTAATCCTAACTATTTGGGAGGTAGAGATCAGGAGAATTGAGATTTGAAGCCCGCCTGGGCAAATAATTTGGAGACCCTATCTCGGAAAAAAAAATCACAAAAAATGTCTGGCAGAGCGGGAGTGGCTCAAGTGGTAACAGTACCTGCCTTGCAATGTGAGGCCTTGAGTTCAAACCTCAGTACTGCCAAAAAAAAAAAAAAAAGAAAGAAAGAAAGAACAAGAGGATGCTGATATTTTTTTTTCATTTTTCTTTTATTATTCATATGTGCATACAAGGCTTGGTTCATTTCTCCCCCCTGCCCCCACCCCCTCCCATAAAGATGCTGATATTTTTAAAAGTCTTTGTTTACTCGTGGTATTTTTTTTCTACTTAAACTCCTTGATTTACAACTTAAAGCACAATCTAGGTTTTATAAAACAGAAAAATGTCATCTTTTTTCTTTATTTCTTTGTTTTGGGGGTGGGTGCAAAAATAAAGTTGTAAACAAGAACTTTACTTCTTTTCAAATCTCTTGTGGTCACTTCATTAACCATCCAATTCTCCATGTAAAAATAATGACAATCTTACCTAGCTGAAGAAGTTTCCATTTATTTGGCCCAGTGCTGTATTACTACACAATAACGGCTTGTAAAACTGGGATGCTTTTACTTGAAATTAGTAATATACTCGAGGAAAAAAAACCCTTCAAAATAGAGTCAATCTACCTGTAATTGGAATTTATTTATTTTTTAGTGCTGGGAATGGAACCCAGGGCCTTGCATATGCTAGGCAAACACTATACCACTGAGCTACATCCCCAGCCCAATTTGGATTCATTTTGATGGTGTATGACATATCAGCTGACTATTATTTTAGGCGCTGCTGAAAAACAAAACACATTAAAATAATTCTATTATTTGGACTTTAAGGAGGTAGGTATGGGAGAAAAATAAAAATAAATTTAGAGGTGAACATTATCAAAGTACATTATACTCATATATGTAAATATCACAATGAACCCCCCACATTGTACAGTTAATATGCACTAATTTAAATCTAATCCATAGCTGGCGCTGGTGGCTCACTCTTGTAATCCTAGCTACTCAGGAGGCTGAAATCAGGAGGGTCCTGGATCAAAGCCAGCCTGGGCAAATAGTTCATGAGACCCTATCTCGAAAATACCCATCACAAAAAGGACTATCGAAGTGGCTCAAGGCAAAGGCCTTGAGTTCAAGTTCCAGGAACCACAAAAAAATCAAATCCATGAGTATAGGAAATAATAAAATTGAATACACACAGAAAAAACGGGAGCCCAAGTCTATTTCAAATGAAAAACATAACACTAAAGAAAGAAAGAACTAATTGAAATAATTTATAAATGCACAACTTTGATTATATGGTGTTAGTGTAAAAAAGAAAATAACTGCAAACAAATCTTTTTTAGGGGGGCGGTATGAAATTTGAACTCAGGACCTCACAAGTGCTCTAACTTTTAGTCATCTCCCCAGCCCCTTTTTCCTTTAGTTATTTTTCCACATATTGTCTCAGACTTTTGCCTAAGACACTACCACTTGAGTCAAACCTCTGGCCCCCTGCAAGCAAAGTTTGAACTCTACTTTTAGGTTTATTTTTCATAGTAATATAGGCATAGCAATTATGAAAATATATTATGTGTAAGGTAATACATAAATATACTGACATTGTTGAGAGCCATGATTCTCATTGTGTAAGAAGTGAGATAAAAATATGAAATGAACACGGCACATGTGGCTCCACCTGTAATCCTAGCTACTCAGAAGGCAGAGGTCAGGAAGATCATGTTGGAATCAAGTCCGAGCAAATTAGTTCAGGAGACCCTATCTTGAAAATACTCAACACAGACAAAAATAAGGTGGGGAGCTGGCACAGTGGCTCAAGTAGTGAGTGCTTTCCTAGCAAGTGTGACGCCTTTAGTTAAAACTCCAGTACTGTATATATATATAATATATATATATATATGTTATATGTTATATACATAACATATAATTACAGATTTTATATATATATATTACAGGTGGAGTCAGAAGACCAATATACCACTCTACCGCTTAAGCCACACCTCCAGTCCATTTTGCTCTGGCTATTTTGCAGATGGGGGGTGGGTCTCAGGAACTATTTCTGCAGAGTGGCCTCCAACTGCAATCCTCCTGATCTCAGCTTCCCATGTAGCTATGATTATAGGCGTGAGCCACCAGCGCCCGGCTAGTCCCTGTTACTTTAACATTATCTTGGAGGTGGTGCCTTAGGCGATTCAGCCTAAGACCACTGTCTTATCTCTTCTCTATAGAGCCCTAACCTTGCTTTAAGGAGTTCTCTCTTTATTAAATACCATCGTACAGCGCTTATAAAGCTTGAAACTACATTTCCCAAAATACCTTTATCTTTCCTCCCGGGAAGAGGATTACAATTTCTATAGGGTTTTACAAATCTCGCGAGATACCACCAACTCTCATTGAGGTTCCCAGCTGAAAGCCATTTTGTTTTTCAGGGTTCTTTGGAAGGGTGTCTGGGGCGAGTTTGCACCAAACCAGCAGCTGCAGTTGTCACAGTTCTAGCTTCAGCTTCGCGATGTTTCCCTTGGCCAAAAACGCACTAAGTCGTCTCCAAGGTGAGTAACTCATTTACAACAGCTTTGTATCTGTTTGACCTCGTGGTTTCTCGTGCCCTTTTCCAACGCTAACATCCTGGCCTTGTAGTTCTAAATGCTCTGCTCTTACCGCATCCGTCATTGGGAAGATATCATTAGCATTGGCTTTATCAGTTTTTGTTTCGTTCCCAGCTTTCTTTCTGCTATCGGGATCATAGCTTAGCGCTGCCTTTAAATTCTTCAGTAACATGATCTTAAGGAAGTGCGCTTGGTGGATACCTCTAGTGAGGTGATTTACGTTTTATCTTCGGGGGAATATTTACGCCAGAGAAGAACCTCTGATTCCTATAGTCGTAACGGTAGGAAACTGGAAATCTACCTCTTCACCGGCTTCATTGGAGGAGACGACCCAAGTAATAGTCAAGTTATTTGTAAATTGTTAACTGATTATTAGTTGCCCTAAAAGCAGTCATAGTGATTTTTTTCCTTACGTAAAAAAAGGCACGTACAGACAAATTCGAGGCCAGCGTTATGTATTGAGAATGCACTACATAGGAGAAAACAAGATTTGTTTCCATACTTATTTCCACTGAAGGTGACCTTGATTAAAGTAAATGAAGGTGACCTTACGCAATTACCATTAACTTTCGTAGCCGTATTTTGGTTTTTACTCTTCAGAGACATTAGGGCTGTTACCAGAGTACGTTATAAACACTCCAGCAACTTTGGAAATAATTGAAAAAAGAGTAACTTGAGTGGTTTTTCATATGCTAAATGTCGCATTATTGCCTCTTTCATTTTGGGCAATTGGTTTAATCTCTCTAACATAAATAATACCTACTTTATAGAGTTACGGAAGATTGTATGATTATTACCAATGTTTTCTGGTCCTAGAGGAGAGTTCTAAAGAAATCCACTTGGGTAATCTTGAGTGTTGAAGTCAGAATTGTTTGATAATCCTAGTTTCTTTGCTCTTAAAACAAGTGACTTTGTGTACCACAGGAAAAGTTTTTTTATTGCTGTTTTATTTTTTTCAGTGTGGAATTAACACACCTACTTTTTAACTGTTCTGGAGCAGAATACATTGTGAAGTGTTTGTAAATTTGCTTATCCTGGGTATGGATATTTAAAGGTGAAAAATGAAAGCTGTGTAAGACAGGAGAAGAACCAATAATGATCAAATAGCTGTGATGGAATAACCCAACATGCCTCATAGAAACCGTTATATTATTAAGTGTTCGTGAATGGGCAACATTGCTGTTTCTTAAACATGTTTTCCATTATATTTGTAAGTACCATTGGTGGCTCTTTCAACTGGAAAGTACTCACCATGGAATTGGAGAGGAAGTAAAAGAAATCTACTGTAAATAGCTTTTCTTGTTCTTGCTCCTTTCCCAAACCCTCCTTAAGATCTCCTGGGGCAGTTTGAAAGCTTTTTTTTTTCTGAGACAGGCTATCAATATATAACCCATATATATGGCCTCGAACTCCTCATCTTCCTGCTTCAGCCTCCTGAGTGCTGGAATTACAGGTATATGCCATGCCACTCAGCTCCATCTTAAAAACTTAATTGTTTTACCTTTTGTTCTAGAATAATAGTAAGAGCTAAGTTTTAATGTTGTTATTATGTTCCAAAACCTTTACCATTTTCCCTTGCCTACTATAAAAGTAGCTTTTTATGATCTTTTCCAGTTTTATTCCCTGTTAACTTGGCCTTTAACCATACTTAACTGATTTTGTGGTATAGCCGACCTATCTCTGCCTTTTCTCAGATTCCCCTTTTCCACATCTGTGTGAAAAATAAAATCCTGTATGCCATTCTAAGGGCTTAGGCAATTCTACTTTCTTGTATTATAGCGATTTGTATCTTAAAGTATAATCTGTTTCCAGATTCGAAGGTACCTGATGACAAAGTCTGTGTCTTACACATTTTCATAAACTATTTTTATAGCATGGTACAGTAGTCATTAGTAATTTTTAAAAAATACAGATGACCCTAGTTTTTGGTGATTTTTGTTTTGGTAATTTTGAGGTCATAAACATTTAGTGTGAATTTGGAGTTTATGTGCCCTTGTATGTTTTATGTTATTGAGCAGTGTTGAGTACGGTTTAGTGAAAATTGGAGTCATAAATATTCAAATATTCAAATTGATGAATAGGAGCCAAGTTCCATCACTGAGTAGTGAATGTTACTGACATCCTCTGTTTTTTGCTTTTCCCCCAACATTTTATTATGAAAAATTTCAGAAATCCAGAAAATTTAGAATTGTATGAAGAACACTCACATTCCACCACATAGATTTTACACATTAATATTTTGCTACATTTATTTTATTACATTTATCCATCTGTCAATTTCTTACATTTGATGCATCTCAAAAGGTGCTACTGTGCTTTTCTATGCAGTGTGTTTTAACATTTTATTGAATTGCATAATACCATAAAGTTGCACTTCCTTGGCTTTCCTGATTTGTTGTATCAATCCTATGTTTCCCAATAATTAATAGATACATTTTTGTATTTTTTTTTCTTTTCTGTAAGTTCGAAGCATTCAGCAAAGAATGGCAAGGCAGAGCCACCAGAAAAGGACCCCTGATTTCCATGATAAATATGGTAATGCTGTATTAGCTGGTGGAGCCACTTTCTGTATTGCCGTGTGGACATACGTAAGTACTTGTGAATACTTGTGTTTTCATGTAGTGGTAGGGATTGTACCCAGGGCCTCAGGCATGCTAGGCAAGTACCACTGAGCTATTCTCCCAGCCCCAATAATTTTTATTTCAGATAATTTTTGTTCTCATTTAGTCCATTTGTTCAAAATGTTTTAACAGTCATAGACATTTCTCGTTAGGGATTTGGAAGATTGTCTAATCAAATCATCCATCCAGTGTAAGTATTTCTTCAACATTCAGCAATTCATCCATCTTCTGCTCTTTTTTTTATTGACGTTTTAGCAAGGATTTATTTATTTTTGTATAACAGAATAAAGTATAGACAAGGTTGGGAGGGGAGAAAAAGAAACATTTCTTGTTCCCTCCCCCTTCCCCCCACAGGAAATGGGAGCAGACTCTCCATCTTCTGCTTTTAACATGTACAACAACAAAATTGTTTACTGGATCACAAGGCAGCCCTTTCTATATTATATAGCCGTTAAAAGGATCTTAAGTTTAGTAGGAGGCTAAGGCAGAAGGATTACAAATTTGAGGCCTCCTGGGCTGCATAGTGAGACTATGTGTCTAAAACATTTTGGCAGCACTTGAGTTTGAACTTAGGGACTTATGCTTACTAAGCAAGTACTCTTAACAGTTGAGCCATGCTTCCAGCCCTTTTTTTGTTTTTGAGACAAGGTGTTGCTGTGTAGCCCAGGATCGCCTTGAACTCTTGATCCTCCTGCCTTAGTCTCCTGAGTGCTGGAATTACAGGTGTGTGCCAATACCATGCCTGTCAAAAAGGAACTTATGTTGAGTTAAAATGGGCTTTCCTTCATATTCTTCATTTCCTTCATCCATTATTCAAGTGCAGTACAAAAATTCTGATCCATCACATTCCCAGATAAATAACAGCCATCAGACATTTGAAAATTGCTGTCACAGGCTGGAAGTATAGCTTGGTGGTAAATGAGGCCCTGGATTCAATACACAGCACCAAAATAGATAAATAAAAAGGAAAATTGCTATCATGTATGTCTTCTGGTTCTTTCAAGATTAAATATATTTAGTTCACTGGTTCTGTAGTTTCCAGGTTTTTCAATACCTTGGCTCACTCTCCTAGATGTGTTTTTTTTTAAATTCTGCAACAGAACTGAACACAAGCCAGGTGTGATGGCACACACCTGTGATCCTAGCCTTTGGAAGGCTGAGGCAGGAGGATCTTGAGTTCGAGGCCAGCCTGGGCTACATAGTGAGTTCAAGGCTAGTCTGAGCACCATAGTGAGACCCTATTTCAAAAAAACAAACAAAAAACTAAGAGTCTTGACATTTTAATAATTATGTAAGTTGGTTTAAAAATACATGAATCAGTCAGGTGTAGGTGGCTCACGTCTATAATCCTAGCTACTCAGGAGGCAGAGATCAGGAGGATCGAGGTTTGAAGCCAGCCCAGGCAAATAGTTTATGAGACCCTATCTTGAAAAAAATCCTTCACAAAAAAAAGTCTGGTGGAGTGGCTCAAGACGTAGACCCTGAATTCAAGCCCTTGTACCACAAAAAGCAAAACAAAAAACCCATGAATCAACCCTTCCCTAATAAAGATACTTTTTTTTTCTTTTTTTTTTTGGCAGCACTGGAGTTCCAACTCAGGGCCTCACACTTGCTAGGCAGGTGGTACTCTTAACTGCTTGAGTTACTCCACCATGGGTATTTTCCAGATAGGGTCTTGCCAATTATTTGCCTGGACTGGCTTGGAACTTCGATCCTCCTGATCTCTGCCTTCTAAGTAGCTAGGATTACAGACATCAGCCACTGGTAGGCGCCCAGCTAAAGATACTTTATTTAATAGACTTCTTTCATTCTTGGTTTTTTTTTTCCCCAAAGTTGTGATATACCATTGTTTTTGGTGCTGAGATTTTAACCCAAGGTCTTGTGCATGCTAAGCCTGTGTGCCCTTGTAGTGACTTACACCCTTGACCTTGAAATCAGATATTAAAATAAATGTGTCCTTAATTAAAAGGATGAACAGATATTTAACAAATGTGTAACTAAAGGAACTTTTGAAGGCAAAATCCTCCTTAGTGATGAAAGAATATTGCAGTGTATTTGGGCAGTTGTGATTGAGGGAAGCAATATTTTGAGGAGGTAATAAAGAAACAAAGTATAAATTTAAGTAGCATTTAAACATTCATTACTTCAATCATACTAGCCACATTCCAAGAACTTACATTTCAAGTGTGGCAAGTGACTACTACTGTATTCGACTTCCTTCTCAGAAAGTTCTATTGAACAGCATTGATCTGGAGAATCAGGACAGCAGTTAGGTTTGATCTACATGGAGGGCACTAAATTCCAGGTGATTTTCTATGTGTTTATAACCTATAGAGCAGAATACCTTTGTCACTTTCAATAGGCTCCAATGGAGAGTGGACTATGGTTTAAACATGTATAACTGACAGCATTTTAATTCTTACAGACAGCAACACAAATTGGAATAGAGTGGAACCTGTCCCCTGTTGGCAGAGTCACCCCAAAGGAATGGAGAGATCAGTAATCGTGCCTGTTGATGTAATGCTGAATTGTTTCAAAACCAAGTATAAGCACTGCATTCCCATGAAAAGATGACACATTTAAGAAATAAAGTACATTTGAAACCTTCATTGTAAGGTTTTGTTTGTTTTCTTTGTAAATGAAGCCATGCTTGACAATCTTTCATTCATTTAACGTTTGTGTTAATAATTAAGAGTCGAAATGCTATACAATCTTTTTTCTGGGGGTTGGTCTACTGGAGGGTTGAATTCAGGGCCTTGTTTGCTAGGCAGGTACTTTGCCAATTGAGCCACACCACCAGCCATTTTTGTGTTGGTTATTTTTGAGATAAATATGCTTTATGCTTGGGCTGTCCTGGACTAGATACTGCCACTAATCTACATCCCTAGCCAATGTTTTTATTAAGTCGAATACAACAGTATATAGCAGTATGTCCTAGAATCTCATAGAATGTATTAAAGTTAGTGATCTCAATAGAAATAATTGAATGTCATTGCAAAATTAGTTGAAAGATTAGTACTACTGTTTGATAAAAATTGAGTGAACACTTGAAAGCTTTTTTTTTTTTTTTTTTTTTTTTTTTGGCGGCTCTGGGGTTTGAACTCAAGGTCTCATGCTTGCTAGGCACGTGCTCTGGCCACTGCCAGCCTGAAAGTATTATCTCTAGAAATGTACCTTATAATAGGACTGAACCATTCAAATGAATGTAAACAAACATTTTTTTGGTAGGCTTGGGGGTTTAAGCAAACATCTTTATGGAAGTCTCAATCTTCTATTAGATTATATAACTTTTTGCCTCTAAGCACTCATGATTTTGAATGACTGGCGATAATACTCAGTATGATTTGTATCATTTCTGTCAGGTAAGTGACAATTGTCAGTATGACGTTTCAGAATGTTTATTTGTATTTATCAGCAAAAGCCTATGCGGAAGCTGGGCATTGGTGGTCTACACCTGTAATCCTAGCCACTCAGGAGACAAATCAGGAGGATCATGATTGGAGGCCAGACGTTTGCCAGACTCCATCTCAACAAGTAGCTGGATGTAGTGGTGCACACCTATCATTCTAGTTTTGGCTGGAAGCTTAATAAACAGGAAGATCGAAGTCCAGGCTGGTCCAGACAAAAAGCAAGACTCCAAAAAAAAAAAAAAGGCTGGCAGAGTGGTAGCGCACCTGTCTAGCAGGCACAAGGCCCTGAGTTCAAGCCCCAGTACCAGAAAAAAATTTTGGAGATGGGGGTTTCACCAACCATTTGCCTGGGCTGGCCTCAAGCTACAATCTTCCTGATCTCAGCCTCCCAAGCAGCTAGGATTGCAGGTGTGAGCCACTGCTTTGGGCCACATTTTGTTTTTTTTTAGTTTTTGAGTGGTGCGAATTTAGCCTGTGGCCTCATGCTTGCTAGGCAAATCTACCACTGACCTACCTCCCCAGCGCCTATATATGTTGTGTGTGATAAAACCTGGTGGTAGTACTTAACATTTTTTGAGGGTGCTGGAGATTGAACTCAGGGTTTTGCAAATGCTAGCAAGTGCTCTATCACTCAGTGATACTCCTATGCCTGAACAAGCTTTTAAGATTTAATGTTTGGCTAGGGTTGTAGCTCTGCTAGAACACTTGCTTAGCATGTGTGAGGCCCTGGATTTGATCTCTGGTACCACACACAACAAAAACAAAAAAGTTAGTTTTGTAGTCTTGTCCCGGTGAGTAATTTTAACACTATCATGACTAGTAGGAATGAAGCAGCAATCATTTTGTGTGCCACCATATTCTGTCCTTGCAGCTTTTCTGAGGCAATCAAGGCCTTTCAGGTTCTGTCCTTTCACACGCCCTCAGTTTATCCCATATCACATTTCTTTCCTAGAGTTGGAAGGGCATCCAATTAGTCTCTATCCTCAAGTATCTGTATGGCTGAAGAATTTAGATAAGTGACTTACCTCAGGAGCATTGCTGATCCTTTATTATTTATTGGGGGACTGTGAGGTATTTTAAAATAAGAATGTCACAGATCTAATTCTTACTTTAATCTGTATTATGTTATTTAACATTTCTAGAACAAGGTATTTTTAGAGGCTCAAATGTTTACTTTGTTTTGGTGGCACTAGAGTTTGAACTCAGGGCTGCAGGCTTGCTAGACAGGTGCTCTTAACTGCTTGAGCCACTCCACCAGTCCTTTTTTGTGATTTTTTTTTTTTTTTGAGATAGAGTCTTGGGAACTACTTGCCCCAGCTGGCTTCGAACTGTGACTCTCCTGGTCTCTGCCTCCTGAGTAGCTAGGATTACAGGTGTGACCCATCGGCATTCAGCAAATGAGTTCTTATCCTGGTGACAACTTCATTGGAAATAGTAACATCAAGTTGTATGTATTTTGAAGGCACTTAATATTTGCTCAAGTCCCAGGAAAACTTATTGCTTATTGACGACATAACCCTCTATTTGAGAGAGGAATTCAATGTAGTAGTTGTGAATAAAAATTGTTAGTATGCTTGTGCATTGATGAGGATTAGTGATGATGCATTTTAAAACATTTTTTGGTGGGACTGGAATTCGAACTCAAAGCTTCAACACTTACAAAGGAGGTGCTTTACAGCTTGAGCCACACCTCTATTCTTTTTTGTTCTGGTTATTGGAGACAGGGTCTGGTGAACTATTTCCCTGGGCTAGCCTCAAACCAAGATCCTCGTGATTGCAGTCTCCCAAGTAGTTAGGATTACAGGACTAACCCACCAGCACGAAGCTTCATCTTAATTTCTTCTGATGTGATACTGTTTTTGTGGATCTGGGAATTGAACCCAGGGAAATTCTCAGCCACTGAGCTATACTCCTAGCCCATCATAGGATGTCATTTTTAAGACTGTAAACTTTGGTCTCAGTTTGTGTTTTAATAAAGTTGTGGGTATTGATTGGCAGTTACAACACTGGAAAAATAAGGAGTTAGTTTTTTATTTTAATGTTAATTATTTATGTGGATGGGTATAGAGAAGAGAATAATTCTTTCTGAAATACTTTATTGTAGGCCTATATTATCTGTGGATAATTTTAAGTGTTGCCTACCAAGGCTTACTAGGATTTTCGCAACTAGTTGGATGGAGATTATTTAACATTTAAGTATACTTAGTGAGTGCCAGGCACTGTTCTAAGTGTTCTACAAAAACTGAAAATTTGTATTTTTGTGTACCATTTTGAGTTTCTGCAGCATAAATTACATTTGATACTCTTCTATGGGAGCTAGATTTAAATGGTTCCACTTGAAAACACAAGTGCTCTTGTGATTAGTTTTACCTTCCATCTTATGACAGCTATTTCCTGAGTAAATAGGAAAAGGCTACATCTTGCTTTGAAAAAATTGAGATGGAGCCTCTGCGGCTGTTAATGTTCATAACTGTAAAAATCTTAGACTTTTGCTGCTTTAAAAAATGTAAACCTGGGAAACAAGAACAAAATAATATGCTTTCTCAGCTTTTTTCTGTACTACTTACTGTATTGTTGGGTTTTAGGCCATGTGAATTCACAGTGATGTCCTTTTTTTTTTTTTTTGCATCCTGGAAACCTGTATTTAAAATGAGCCAATAAATGGGGAGGTGACATCCCTGCCCTTCCCCAAACACACGTAACGGTGATGAATTTATATACATATTTCACTTAATATCATTTTTTGGGGAGACGCCGTTTTGGGAATCGAACCACGTACTAGGCAAGTGCTTTACCAACTGGGCTGTGCCCCAACATGATGTCATCTCTCCATGCAAGGATGAAGGGGCAAGTTCATGGTTCTGACCTTTACATCTACAATTATGCCAAGGAGTAGCCAAGAAAGTTAACACAGTCTAACAGATCCACGCTAACTTCGTTCTTATGGCAGATTTTGGCCAAGACCAGGAAGCTCCAAAGGATCGAGGTAGGGTTTTGCTAGGTTTTGCCATAGGGGCTGGGAAGAAGGAGACCGCTTGGGGGCAGTAGGAGGCGGGAGAAGCTTGCCTGGGGTGCGCGCTCCCCAGCACGTGACTCGAGTGCGCTTTGGCTCCTGGGCCCAGCTTCCGGCCGGGGCATCACCCGGAAGTAGGAGCGGCGGACGAGGGAGGGGCGAGCGCTGCCAGCCGCTCTGGCTGAGGTTGGAAAAAGAAGCCGAGGGAGGAGCTGCGCCGCCGCCTGTGTCGCGCCACTGCCACCGCCGCCGCGGCTGCCGTGACTTCACACAGCCTGGGGGTTGCAGGCTCGAGTCGTCGACGCCACGGTTTGCGTAGCTCCGGAGGTTGAACCATAGCACAGAAAAAAGCCAGGTAAGTCCTATGTTGGCTTCCCGTTGTCTCTTACTGGAGAGGGGTGTTCTGAGCTGTCAGTCTGTACTACTGAGTGTAGTGGGAAGGTCACTTTAGTCGCGAGCAACCTCCAAATTCTCACTTCTTCACAACTCACATATTTAACCATGCTTATGTTTTACCTCCCCAAACGGGATAGAGAAGAGCAGATTAGTTCCTGATCCTTGTTGCTTTCTTGTACTGTTGTGGTGAGGGTATCCTGAGCACCCATGGCCTATGTTAATTGTGGGCACAAGAAGATCTGTGCCCAGTGTAGGAAATCGTACGGTCTGGGGTCTTTGTTTTGTGACATCTCTTTGTACTTTTGAAACTAAGATTATTAAGATCATCATTATTGATGAAATAATTTTTTAAAATAGGTATTTGGCTTCTTGTTTCACACCGGGAGCATAAACTAAACAGAGAGGGTATACTCGTTCCCACTTTGTTTTGTTCAGTGTGTCCCCTTTACAGTAAAGTTACTCTGCATCCTTGCCCTACCCTGTGACATCTGTCTCTAAAGCTCTGTTTCTGTTCTTTTTTTTTCTCCCTCCGGTGCTTGGGCTCCAACTCAGCACCTCGCACATGCTACGTTGCATCTTATTTTCGGCACTTTTTGTTGTAGACATTGGGGTTATTTTAAGCTTGGACAACACTCTTATCCTTTTACAAGCCAGTATTTTTCCAGGATATGTACTTTGTTTCTAGAATAGGCTGTTCATCTACAGTACTGTGGCTGTGTATTGAGACAATGTGTGCAAAACATTGATTTAGGTGTGGGAAGTGGGGTGAGGGTGCCCAAAATTAAAATAAGAGTTCCTGGCCTCA